CTGTGCATATAAATTAATCTACATGCATATAAATAAAAAATTCCTTTGATAATTATAATTATTTCCCTGATAATATTTATACTTGCTTTGGTAAAGAAGATGAAAAGGCCAAAGTATATGACCTGTTTATGTAATAGGTATAGATAAAATTCAAAGAATTCGTTCTCTCTTTCAATTACAATAATTACATAAATTGATGGTGAAAAATGCCGCTTATACGTTGACAATTATGCCTTTCTACTCATTAGTGTCAATTCATATTGTTTTTAATATCAATAATTGAAAAAAATAAAATCAAATACAGTATAGAGGTCTGATATAAAAAGTTGTTATTGTAAAAATATGAAAAAATTAGTAATCTAAAAAAATTATTCTTTATGATTTACTGTATAGAATTTTAGTATATAAATATTATAAGAATAGACGTAATTTATAATCCTTTTGCTCTTCTATGATGGGAATGACAAAATGATATATCTTTTGTAGTAAAAATTTACCTGAGAGATCGATACACTGATTTTATTTTCAGGTTTTGATTGCGCAAAAATCTATTCACATGGCTGACGATCGATATGTCAATTCTGGCAGATCTATTGGAATTGACTTTTCTGACCTTTAGAACTATTTGAAAGATAGAAGATATACATGTATGTCAAAATGAGACTTTGATATCAGGGATCAATTAATAAGCATTTCTGTCATCCAAGCCGCAAGCCTCCTGATGTTTTCAAAGGATGCCGTAATAAAAACACTTCATTTTGCTCTTAGTAATGGTAGAATTTGAACAATATTGTAATTAGATAGTTCTTCTCTTTGGTCATTACAGAGCGCTGACAGAGGCAGTATAGTCGCTCATTTAATAAATTTATTTTCTTTATTTATTTCAATAAAAACTTTATTTAATACATTTATATTACATCGTATTCAATAAACTAAATAAAATACATTAATTACCTTCCTCCTAAAACTAAGGTAACACCTGCTACTAAAATTTTTGAATGGTTTTTTAATAATGCTTTCATAGAAGTAATTTAACTATAAACTTTATAATTACGCACTTAAATAATATGTAATAGTTATTTATCGCGAAATCAGAGATATATATCATCAGAGATCATGGCGGAGCTGTGATCCCTGTGATATCTGCGATTGAGTAGTAAATAACTAATATATTCATAGCTATTAACACCCATGATAAAAAATGATTTCGAAATAAATATATCATGTTTTGATAACTTTATCAATAAATATACTTTTAAAAATTAAAATAAAATTATATAATAATAAACAATTATAACTGTACGTTAGCTTCTAAATAATATTTACTATCTAACATTAAAGTATTATTGAACTAGAAAAAGTAATTTCAATTATCAAAAAATAATTAAAGTGCTCAAAATACAGAAAAAACAACGAAAATGGCTAGAACATTTTGAAAATTTTTGAAAAAATATGACTGATTTTTATCCACAAGAGGAGATATGAAATTCGATTATATTACTTATTTATATTAGAAAATAAAACTAAAAGAAAGAGTGACTGAATATATAGCAATATAAATGATTTAACGAATGTCATTATCAAAAGACGTGTTATTTTAATTAGAATTATAATAATTTTAACACTGCAATATTAAATAAATTCATTGATAAATAATTTCTAGTACGATTTTCAAATGATATAACCTAGTAATGACGAAACATTGATATTAACCTGGAAAATTCAACTCCAATAATAAGTCCAGTAAAATATCGATGCGTAATATCATGGGCGAATGATTAATAAACGGGAAATATCAAGTAATATATATTAGAATATTATATTTATTTTTTATGTTAAAATTTTAATAGTTATTGATATTCATCGATAAAGTTTATGTATTGATATATTTAACAACAAGTTATTATTATTATTCTCATTAAATTTTGATAAATTCCTAATTCACTCTAACTGTAATGATCATTAGAGATGTCAAATAAACAGTTAGCTTAGAAACTTTTTAAACAACAATAATAAATCACAATTCGTATTGTATATAGCGATAGAGTAATAGTTTAAAATAAGTATAAAACTTTGTTTATATAAAAATTAATATATAATTTAATTAATTATGTTTCCATAAAATTGAAATGAAGTCAACAAAATCTGTTATTACACTCAATCCTTTGGACACTTCTGGAAAACTTGTAATTATATTTTATTAATTTCTCTCGCTTAGATCATTTTTTTCAAATTAGCACATAACTTAAAGCACGCGTTTATGTTTGAAGCAAATATTATTGCTTTAATAAAAATCTGTTCAAATAATTATGTTTTTGAATGAAGTCTTATATTGGTTATAATATTATGTACTGTATAAGGATTTAATAGATAAAATAAATATCAGATAATGAACCCATATCAAAAATATATTATATAAAATACAATTTAAATTATTAAATATCAAAATATGTCGTTTTGGAAATATAATCTATAAATTAAAACAATTGATTAATTTGTGAATTAATAGCTAATATTTTATACCTTTACTTACCATTATTGATATTTGCATTACAATTATCTTCATCTAATAAAAATCAATAAATAATTATTATTCAGTTATTTAGAAAAATGAAGATTTAATTTATAATTTACCAATAATTTTTGAACTTTTTAAACATCCTGTGAATTCTGGTAAGATTATTGTGCTACTATATAGCTTATTTTCTATAATAGGTCCAATATCTGGTGATATTATAATTTTAGTTGGATTGTTTTCTTCATTCAAAATGATTTCATCAATAAGTTCCCAAATTTCATCAATATTTGGTCTTTTATTGGGATTAAAGTTCCAACAGTTTTGCATTAATTCAATATAACCTTTAGGTGCATTTGTAATAATAGGAGGACGAAAACCATCACATATTTGAATAATCAGATCTGTATCAGAATCTTGAAAATTCCAAAAAGGCCTTCTACCTGCCATTATTTCCCACATTATCATACCAAAGCTATATATATCTGAAGCTTTAGTATATTTTTCATATTTTTGCCCTTGAAAAATTTCTGGAGCAATATAAGGAATCATACCATAACATTTATTATCATTAACTGATAATTCAGTTGATAATTTACTAATTCCTAAATCACTTATTATAACATCATATTCATTTTCGCAAAGAATATTTTTACTATGAAAATCTCGATGAATAATTTTTTGTTTATGAATATGATTAAGTCCTTCCATAATTTGCTTTAAAATATTTAATTTTTTATCCCAATTAAGATTAATAAAATTTTTTGTTAAATAATGTTTTAAATCATATTTATAATATTTCATAATTATTACTAAATCTTCTGTATTAGGATTTTTAGTAATTCCATAATATCTATTTAAATATAAAAAAGAAGTCATAAATCCTCCATTTAAATCAATATTATAAATTATATTAAGCTATATTTATTAAATATTTATAATTAATATAAAATTCATGTAAAATAAAAATTATTATAATCAAATTAAATTTACCTCATTTAATTCATAAGAAGTTATGTTTTTAGAATTTTTAAGTTGTTTTAAAGCAACTATTAAATTAGAATCATTAAGTTCAAAATCTTCAATTTCTTCATTCCAATAAGATGGACCATTTATCCAAATAGCTTTATATACTTTACTAAATCCTCCTTCACCAACAATTTTTATATTTTTAAATTGATTATAAGGAATAAACTTCATTCTGCTAGATTCTTGAATAAAATTTATTTGTGTAAATTTAATAAAATCATCTATAATTTTATTTCCACTTGATATATATAATAATTTAGATTGATAGCAAATAATACAAATTTCATTATTTTTTTTTAAAGATCTTCTTTTTTTAAAACAATTATTACAAATAGTATAATTCTCATTTTCTGATTCAATTATAAATCCTTTAATTAATTTTAATTTATTCATATAATTTTTATAAAATTTACTAGAAATATTTATATTTGTATTTTTTAATACTTCTTGATACCAATATAAAGCATATGCTAAATTCTTTTCTGTTCCTTTACCATTTTCATATAATATTGCAAGACTATACTGTGCATTAGCATTATTATTTTCTGCAGCTTTTTGATACCAATAAAAAGACTTTTCTAAATTCATTTCTGTTCCTTCACCATCTTCATATGATAATGCAAGATTATACTGTGCAAATACATGATTATTTTCAGCAGCTTTTTGATACCAATAAAAAGCCTTTTCTAAATTCTTTTCTGTTTCTTCACCATTTTCATATGAAAGTGCAAGATTATATTGTGCATTTACATTATTATTTTTAGCAGCTTTTTGATACCAATAAAAGGTTTTTTCAAAACTTTTTTCTGTTCCTTCACCTTTTTTATATAATAGTGCAAGACTATATTGTGCATTAGTATCATCATTTTTTGCAGCTTTTTGATACCAATAAAAGGCCTTTTCTAAATTCTTTTCTGTTCCTTTACCATTTTCATATGATAATGCAAGATTATATTGTGCAAAAGCATGATTATTTTCAGCAGCTTTTTGATACCAATAAAAGGCTTTTTCTAAATTCTTTTCTGTTCCTTTACCATTTTCATATGATAATGCAAGATTATATTGTGCATTAGTATCATCATTTTTTGCAGCTTTTTGATACCAATAAAAGGCTTTTTCTATATTCTTTTCTGTTCCTTTACCATTTTCATATGATAATGCAAGATTATTCTGTGCATTTATTTGTCCATTTTTAGCAGCTTTTTGATACCAATAAAAGGCTTTTTCAAAATTCTTTTCTGTTTCTTCACCATTTTCATATGATAATGCAAGATTATATTGTGCATTTGCATCATTATTTTTTGCAGCTTTCTGATACCAATAAAAGGCTTTTTCAAAATGCTTTTCTGTTCCTTCACCATTTTCATATGATAATGCAAGATTATACTGTGCAAAAGCATGATTATTTTCTGCAGCTTTTTGATACCAATAAAAGGCTTTTTCTAAATTCTTTTCTGTTTCTTTACCATTTTCATATGATAATGCAAGATTAAACTGTGCAAAAGCATGATTATTTTCTGCAGCTTTTTGATACCAATAAAAAGTCTTTTCTAAATTCTTTTCTGTTCCTTCACTATTTTCATATAAAATTGCAAGATTATATTGTGCATTTGCATTATTATTTTCAGCAGCTTTTTGATACCAATAAAAGGCCTTTTCTAAATTCTTTTCTGTTTCTTCACTATTTTTATATGATAATGCAAGATTAAACTGTGCAAAAGCATGATTATTTTCTGCAGCTTTTTGATACCAATAAAAGGCTTTTTCTAAATTCTTTTCTATTCCTTTACCATTTTTATATGATAATGCAAGATTATACTGTGCATTAGCATCATTATTTTCAGCAGCTTTTTGATACCAATAAAAGGCTTTTTCTAAATTCTTTTCTGTTCCTTTACCATTTTCATATAATAATGCAAGATTATTCTGTGCATTTATTTGTCCATTTTTAGCAGCTTTTTGATACCAATAAAAAGTCTTTTCTAAATTCTTTTCTGTTCCTTCACCATTTTCATATGAACCTGCAAGATTATATTGTGCATTTGCATTATTATTTTCAGCAGCTTTTTGATACCAATAAAAGGCTTTTTTAAAATTCTTTTCTGTTCCTTTACCATGTTCATATAACAGTGCAAGATTATATTGTGCATTTGTATTGTTATTTTCAGCAGCTTTTTGATACCAATAAAAAACCTTTTCTAAATTCTTTTCAGTTCCTTTACCATTTTTATATAATAATGCAAGATTATACTGTGCAAAAGCATGATTATTTTTAGCAGCTTTTTGATACCAATAAAAGGCCTTTTCTAAATCCTTTTCTGTCGCTTCACCATTTTGATATGATAATGCGAGATTATACTGTGCATCAGCATCATTATATTTTGCAACTTTTTTATACCAATGTTTTAACATGTTTGTTTTAAATGGAGAAGAAAGGTATAAAATAATACAAAATTATTAATGGAAAATTAAGTAGAAATTTTTTTCGTTGTTCTTTATCGAAATCGGCATGCATAAAATATCTTAATTTGTAATCACAAGGATTACAATGCAATGCAATGCAATATTCTACAGAACTTATTTTACGGCATATAAAAGAGTACATTATTTATAGAACATTATCGTTATGAGAAAGTTTTAACTTTAGGTGCACAATACTTCCAAATGTTTATCTAATAAAAAAATGGATTTTTTTTTTTGGTTTTTTTTTTATATAATGCAATTTTAAAAAATATAAATTAAAATGACTTTGTTTTTTTACCTAAATTGAGATTAGAATTTACAACTTAAAAAATTAATTTTTCCAAAAAAAACATTTCTTTTAATATATCGAAAATATGTTATGATAATTTCCAGACCTGCTAATAAAAATATTATGATCTTATTTCCTTCCCTCCTGTTAGTAACGATTATCTGCGTCGGTAAATGACGCCAATCTGAAACCATATTTATAAGCAATTTTTTTATAATAAGTTGACATATCGTTATATAGGTTTGACTTTATATAATTCAATAAATAATTAGAAATAATATGTCGCACAAAATTTCTTATTTATTCTTTTTGTTGAAAGATTTTGATTGGGCGTCGCTTTCATAATTGGTTTACAAGCTGGTAAATTAAAGTTTTCAACGATGCATTTGTTGAAATAAGTATTTATAAACGCATCTTAACAAAATAGTTTATAAACAATCTGAAAAAGTAATAAGAAAATTAAAAATTGTTCAAAGGGAAAACGAATTTTCAAGGTTAATTCTGGTCAAGAGCCGAATAACAATCGTATTGCACAATCTTGCGGAATAGGGAAACGACTAATATTCTTGTTTTGTAATAAAAAAATTTAAGAGATGGTTTTTCTTTATAATAAAAAATGTAAGGATTTCTTTTTTTTTTTGTAATAAAACATTTATACAAATAAAATCCTTATTAACGTCCCAACTTTTTTTTTTTTTTTTTACTATTTTTATCATTTTTATCAAAGATTATGAGCTGAAACAAATCATTATAACAAATTCGTTGATGGATATTGCTCTTATCGTTTTAAATATCTGATATAGGCTAAATGACCATATTTGTTTAATCAGTTGTTAAATTTTGCGCGGCGTGTTACGACACGTTATAGACGAATAACAAATATAGCTTATCATTTTAGCATGATAAATATGATAAATACGATAAAAATTTTTAACCGTTCGACTTCCCCTGTGTACTTATCAAGAAATGACGCTATTACGAATTTACGTGAATTTTCTGTTTGGATATCGTCTACCAGCATCGGCTTATGTCATCATTTTTGTAACTATAAATGTTCAAAAATAAAGATTGTTAACGGCGTTGAATATTAGGACACCAAATAAAATATAATATTAGGTCATATGTATAAGAAATCATATGGCATATTATACTACTTTTCAATTCATTTTTTTACTTTTGTTAAGCGCAAACAAGATATTTTAAAATTGTTAAATTATAAACAAATCCTTATTGATATTTTAATAAAATATCGATTTATCTTTCGTTTTTTCCCTATAGAAAGGAATGATCATCAAACATATTCAATATTTTCCGAATCATTTGTTTCAAATCAGATAATGGACAATGTATCCTTGTCATGTTAAAAGGAATGAAAGGTTTAAATTATCCAAGTATGGTTTATAGTCCCAAATTTCGGTGATTCCAAATCAATTTTATCAAAAGTAGCTTCGGTAATTTCTTTTTAGTAACTTTCCAAAAAGGTATTTAGAGACCTTATTCATCAAATACTCTTGTAAAGTTCACATTTTTCAGTGCTTCGTTTATGGCTTGTTCAAATTTTTCTGAAAGTTTAATATGATTCATATTCATAATAATAATAGAACTACTTATTCAATATTATTACAAAGGGATAAGGTATAAATCTTAAATTATTGATAATTAAAAGTACTCAACTTTTGTTGTTGGACTTCTGGTAACATTTAGTATTAATTCGATTATGGTAATGAGATAAAGTTCGCGCAAATTGCTGGTTATATGATTGATTATCCACTTGGGGAAGATGATAATTTAGCACACAATTTCCATTTCCAACCTAACATTTCAAACTTAATTTCTACTTAAAATTTAGCAACTCTAGGATGCTTTTACCAGCAATTCAAATTATTGCATCAAATCTTAATTGGTAGACGAGAATATTATTATCAGTAATGTCAATAATATTCTTTTGATATAAATTGCTCATACAATTGACTGTTTTTTATAATTTTATCCATCCAAAGTTCTATTTTGGTAAATACCGAAAAGGGGAAACTTTTGAGTGGAAAAAAACATTTCTAGCAATCAAATGACCATATAATTCATACAATTTTCATCATGATCCAATAATGGGTTGTAATTTATTATTAAAGTCATCCTCCACTGAAAATAAACTGCTTCTAATGACGATTAATTAAACATACCCGACTTTTTTTTTTCTTTTCTCCACCTGTCTTTCCCTTCTCCACTTGTCTTTATTATATATCTAACATTACATTAATATTCTTCTTTTTCTACCTGTCTTTCTACATATCTTCTTTGCTTCTGAAGCTACGACTTTTCTTTACTTGTCTCCACCTGCCCTTTTTCTCGCAGAAATTCAAAAATAATATCTGGTAAGTGTAAAACCTTACATATTTTTCTACAGTATGAGGATTAGACTTTTGTCCAAATTAAGATGTGAAAGCAAAGAACTTTGCTTGACTTTCTATTTAAGATAGTTTAATCATTATCGTTATCGTTTTTATAATCTTTTATCACAAGCATCCTAATATTTTAACTTCAATTTTTATTTTATAAAAAAAAACCGTTGGAAGGATGACATCGCATTTACTTCTGTGAAAATATCCAAAAGCTTGGCGCAGAAGAAATCGAGGTGTAGTTAAAATCCATAAATTCTCATCCATTTGTTATGTTAACAAAGGGAATGAATGACGGTGTTGGCCCGATTTTCCTAGCTTTCCTAGCTTTCTCAAGTCAACAAACACTTATTTACTTTTTATTTAGTTCGTCCGATGCATAATTCATATAGTATTTAATTATTACGATTCGCTAGTGTAGTTAGTTATCGCATTATGAAGGCACGAAGAAGATTTAAAGGGTAAAATAAACAACTTGATTAATTAGGAATTCTACTAGCCTTTTCTTTAGACTTATCATCACAAACTAGATTAGTCTAATTAAATCTTTGAGAGAAACTTTTACGACTTGCTATTTTCTTTGTTTTTCTCTAGATTGAATTCCCGATCTATTTATACAAAATCGTTGTTTCAATTTACTAGCAAACATAATAAATTTAACAAATAAAACAAATATAATAGAAATAATAAATAAAACAAATATAATAAATAAAACAGATAAAAAAAAAAATAAGATATTGTTACATTAATAATATACGAAGAAGGACAAATAAGCAATGCAGAATATTCAAGGTAGCTGGTCTTGTTAATTTTTTAGAATTTATTAGCACTTATAATTATTTTATTATTATTATTATTATTATTTTTATTATTATTATTAGTATTATTTTTTTATTGTTATTTTATAGCGTTTATTATTTTTTTTTTTATTATTATTCTATTATTTTTTTTATTAGTATTATTTTTATTAGCGTAGCGTATTTTTTTATTATTACATGCGATCATTAAGTTAGCGCATTTCGGCCAATATTGTTCTCCGTCCAAATTAGTCCACTGGTTTCCTGGACAAAAATGTCCTGTTAAAATTTCACATATATAAATGGCGGAATTTTTCTTTAATAAAAAAAAAAAATTATCATAACAATTATTACAACGATAATTACAACGTTAATACAGTTCATATTCGCTATAATAAATCTTATTCAATCCTTGAAAAGTCCGATAATTCCCTAAACACGAAAACATCGTTATTATTTCCCTTTTACATTTTTATTGTAATAACTCCGAAAGATATAATTAATAAACATACCTGATTGTATAGAGCGCCGACGACGTTGCAGGCAATACGATATCTATGTTGTATTAGATAGGAATTCCGATTATTATTAATTAAATTAGTAAAACAATAAACACGATACCTTCTGCTTACCTTAAAACTCCGTTTATAACCCATAAACACCAAAGAATTGCTATTAATAATATGTAAAACATATTTGATATGTCTGCTATAGCAGACATATTTGACATTTTTGATATGCACCGCAGTTGCTGCGCCAATCGTTGCGTTGACAACGGATATGTAATATCAGATTGTTTACATTTTTGTTGTATTTTGATTAACAGAATTAATAATTTCAGGTATTGAGTCGTACATGGAGGTTGGAACCGGTTCTAAGATTTATTATATATAAAAAGGTCAGCTTTACTGTTTTATAATTTATCATCATTTCTTTATTAACTTTCTTGTGTTTATTTCTATTCAACATTTACATATAATTCGCTTCGAACTCAACCACAGAATCTGAGTATCTACTACAGGATCATGGATGTAATATAGTATAGAAAGTGCTAAAGATTGATAAATTTGTGATGTGAAAAATGATGCTTCATATATCCTGAAATAAAAAAAAGCAATAGACGAATAATTAAAGAAAGTCATCTGTTTACAAGATGAACTTATGCTTACGCAAAAGAAATTATTGAATTATCATAAGGAGGTAATATTTTAAACTAGCCAAAAATAACAATTTTAATCTGCTTTGGAGTATTTGGAAGATTAAATAATTCTTAAAGTTAATTTTAAAGTCCGAACCTTGACTTTTTTTATATCGCAAATTGTATGATTCGTTTAATCAAAATTTTTAAAATTCTCGTTTTGTTGTTATATGTTATATTATTGTTACTGCATTGCAAAATCCTGTCTCAAAATCATTTAATAAATTGTTGTATAAGGTGTTTTCAAATCTCACCTTTTTTCATAATTAATTAAGAAAAATTTTAATCTTGAAAATGCAGAGAAAAGCATATAAAGTCGCATTCTAAAATGTATTAGTAGCCTTTACTATAATTAGATATGCTTTAGCTTTGATTCACCAGGTTCTTCATATTTGTTGCCAAAAAAAAAAAACAAATTAACTTCTGCGTTTAGTGTGTTTAGTGTACGTACTGCCCCTGGCCAAAATGTTTCGTGGCCAATATGTCCTTATTAATTTTCGGATGTGGTACGCTTGAAATGAAATATATGTTCCAATAATAAAAATAGCTTTTAGTTATAATTTCCTTTACATTTATTGTAATAACCTCGAATCTTTAATTAATAAACGTATAGAGCGCCTACGATTGAGTCAATATCTTTTTTACGTTGTATTAGATTAGTTTTGCTATTAAAAATAAATACAATTTAAATAATAAACTTTTGCAACATAAAAATATAAAGAACTGCGCATAACGATATTGCGGGACAGTCTCGCAATTCTGCCTATGAGTCCGAAGCAAAATTGCAAAATTACATCAATCTTGGTATTTGGGTCTTATTAAACAAGTGATTATCTCACAATGATCTGTAACTTCTCTTACTATGTAAACTTTTGTTTTATCGGAGTTAACAATAAATGAAATTTAGTAGATTGAAGGAAACTTCGAAAGCGATCAATTGAATCTTACTTTAAGGAGAATGGAATTTACTAATAAAGAAGAAACCATTATTATGATATAATTCACTTTATTAAATCTTTATCATAACAAAGGTCCATTAACGATATAAATTGGAATTTGTAAACAATTTTATTTAAATGGTTACAAATTACTTGATAAAAATTATATTTAGATTGTGCGTCCTTAAAACTTTACCATCCATCTCTGTTTTATAGAAACTTAATCCGCGAGGCCATCCAATATCTCTTTTACTTTATAATCTTCCCCTCCAATAGCGTGTGGATCTCTATCATGAACTTTTATCAAGAGCGCATGCAATACACATGAACTTTCTTCAAAGCAAACAAATTGAATCTCTTCTTCCGAAATATGAATCCTGTACAACTTATTAATATCCCTCCTTCCTAACGTGTAATATCTTTCACCATTCGTAAAATCAATAGATTCGGGTTTTTGCCTAACCATAAAGATCGTTTGGATGTATTTACGGTAGGCGCATATTGTTGAGCATACAATGTAATTTTGGAGGTATAAATCCCCTCTCCGTACATCATTCCATGCATAGATTTAATTAAATTATTGCCCGCATGAGACCCTGGCTTTTTTAGACCAAACTTAATAATGCTCTTGACGTTTTTTGTGAACGTTCCATGATAACTGTAATTCCATTTGTTATTATAAAATAGGTGCTTTCCTTGCTCTAACACAAACTTTAACATTTTGATGGTCGCAAATAACGATGTCCACCACGACTTTCAATATAACAATAATTTTCTAGATAATAACAATTATCCATATGACTAAAGATGGAATCATCGAGCATCAAATACTCTTTAATGAACTTGCGGGATAATTCATATTCGAAATTGCTTTCAAGCTGACTTCGACCATACAAATATCCTTGATTATTTCTAGAATATAAGTTCATCGTGTATTCTATAAAGTTAGAAATTTTTGAAAACCTTTTTTTTTTATTTAAATCATTCATATCATTTCCAAATTGGCCAAATTGGGAAACAATCACTGATAAACAACGCCAAATGTACAGTACATCATTTCAGAAATGAGACAGAAAATCCACACCGATCGTTATTTTTTTTGGAAATGCTCGATCTGATTAAAAAATTTGATAATTGATAAAATGCATCGAATTTAATAAAAAGAATAAATAAATTACTTTATTACAAGGTTGAAAATCTGCAATAGCATTTTATGTAATTGAAGTTTACTTTAGAAAAATTCTTAAAAGCATCATAAATTTTTTTTTTTTAATTTAACTAATTTAACGGTAACAAAATATAATGAAATATAAATTTTCATTATACTGTATAAAGGTATAACTCCAATATATATACTGCAATAATAAAAATTATAAGTCATTGTCCTTAATTTACTTTAATGGCAGCTTTTTGGCCGATTAAAAAAGTAGTATTTTTTTTTAATTTCGCAAACGTGTAGCTCAATGAAACCGAAATCAAAATGAAAAATAAAATGAAAATATGAAAATGTGAAAGAAATAAAGCAAAAAATAAAATAATGAAACGAAAATCTAAACAAAAAACAACCCTATATTTATTTAATCAAATAGCCTCTAAAATAAAAATACTTACCTATTATTCAATTGACGTAGTATTGAAAATCCGAAAATGAAAAAAAAAATGCTCAAACAAAAATGAAATAAAAAGCAACTTACCTAAAAAAATAAAAAATAAAATAAAAGAATTTTTTTTCATCTACTATTCAATCGACGAAGCAGCCCCGATGGAACGAAATAAATAATAAAACAAATTTTTAAAAAAGAAATTATCACTAGTACAATGCGATCGAGAATAAGGTTGCATGGCAAAATCCCGAAGTTTCGACAGGTAAAATCAAAAATATTTTGACGTTTTGAAAATTTTTTTTTAAAGTAAAAACCGCGAAACTTAGATGGTGTCAATAGTCTCGACGATTGGAAAAATGCTTCGACGGGTGTAAACTCATCAATACCTTTGATAGTAATTTTCAACCACCAAAATAGTATTCCCTTTGAAAGTTTTACTTAAATTTAGAATTGTCCGGATCTCTATCTAACTCTGAGTCAATTCAATCGAAACCAAACGAAATCTGTCGAAATAGTCGAAACACAAAAACAAATATATAATAGTAATTTGCCAATAATTGTTAAAATCACGTTACGGATCATAGATCAACCATATATTTCCATAATTAGTGTAGGTCATGAAGATCTTCGAATCCCACAATTTCACATTTTTTCATTTTTTAATATAAATAAGAATAGAATCCATTTGTTTGTTCCTTAGTTTGCATTCACTCTTGTGAGTGTTAGACTCCCTCTTGTGGAGGGAGGCGATGGTTATAGGTAGACTCTTTCACCATGTCTTCGGATAGGTAGACGGATTCACCATGTAGTCTAGTCTTCCTTTATGAATGGTAAACTTTTATAAATTATAGCGGGTGGTGTGATAAGAGGGATTTGTCGGGATAAACGAACAAAATTTATGTAAATATTTTCATATCTATTTATTCTAAATTTCGATTATGCTCTTCAAAAGATAAAAAAAAAAATAATAAAAACTGTCGAAGCTCGTCGAATATGAACAAAACGGTTGGAACCAATAGTAACAAAATAAAAATAAAGTTACTGTACCATTAATATAAATTGTGTAAAGATGAAGGAGGCGGTCAATATAATTCTCATACTCCCCTTTATGTATATATAATATAACGGGTTTAGCATTTTGAGGCCTAATTCTCAGAAATGGTGTTTGTAAATATAATAAATTTTATTATAAAGTAACTTAGATCACACTTGATAGTTAGTTATAGAACCATATGATAATTTTCCAGGAAAGTTTTCTTATTAAATCATCATCATCAAAGATTAAGGAGCGAGAAGAAGAAGAAAAGCCAAGCAAGAAACTATTAATAATTTAGAATAAAAGGTTAGAAAACGAGAAGAAGCAACCAAAGTCAATGAAAATTATTTAGAGTAACTTTACGGGCGAGTAATCAGCGAGCGATTACCCTTGAAGTTATTCAGACCTAATTACTATAAAATTTCTTATATGCCTTGATATTGGTTCTTTACAATCTTTTGCTATCATTTTTACCTTCATGAATTTATAATTAGTCAATTAAATATTAATACAAAACCACAAACCCATTTCACTGACCAATTTTAATTATAATTAATAGAGAAATACAGCAACCATTTAATAATATATTTTTTTTATTACGTTAAAGAGGCGATTATTCCAAATTTTAATATAATATTTTTTTATATAATTACTGTATTAGCTTATAGTGTAATCTCACGATCATAGTTAAATAAACTCTTTAACTCAAAGTTTAATAATTCTATACGGCCGTGTATTTATCACAAATAATAATAAGAATGACAAAGAATTTTGGAGAATTGCAAAGATATCGTAAATGAACAAATATCAATTATGTGAAACTCAAAAATCAGTTTACCCAATTTTACCTAACACCTTAACACTTCTCAGATGCGATAATGCTAAAATAACCTGACTATTTTACTTATCTTAAACATTGAAAAATAAAGGGACGACAAATGAACAAATAATTGCGTAATTTTTGAAACCATTACGCAAGTTGTAAATAAATTGTTTAATTTATAAAAATATTTGTGCGCGCGTAAGTCAAGTAAACTCCCATATTTACTGTAAATTTAAATACATATAGTAATTTTCCGTTGAATTCACAAGATAATTTTTTTTAAAAAAAAGGATGTAAATAGCCATGAAATGAAACTTATGCCCTATTAGAATCTTAATTCAACAAATTAAATGTGTCTAATATTAATCGTTCTTATTGTGTTTCACCGATGAAGTAGAATATTCGTTATACCGGTTTGATCGTTAAATAATTAAAAATTATATCTATAATATTGTTGCACGCAGTTCGTATCGTTTATTAATTATAAACAAAGAAAATGTAAGCAGAAGGTTTATAGTAAAAGATGGATTTTTTAACAATGACGGAACTTAAAAAAGATACAACGCAAATAAAGTATTGTCTCAGCTTCGGCGTTCTATACGATCAGATGCGTTTATTCAATTAAGTATTCGTTATCGTTACAATGAATAGCAAAAGGGACATTATTTAACTTATACTATCTATTTCTTATAACTTAGGAACATTATTTTACCCAAACGAAACCCACCCATTTACATGCCCGAATTCGACTGAGACTTATTGTCCAGGAGCCATTTTGGCCACGAAACATATTGGTCGGATGGCATATTGACCATTGGTCTGTTGATCTTCAAAAATCTAACAAAATTAAAAACAAAACTAGACATAATTGGGACACAATGCACCGGAACTAATAGAACAATTGAATTATTAATATCTGTAACATATGCTTGCATATTTTTCATCCATAAGTGACATATGAAAAGATCAACTTGGTAATTTCATTTTGAAATCAAAACAAAGCGCGGGGCGGAAATCTTTATCATAGTCAAAATTTAAAAAGGGTGGACTGGTAAAAATCATTATTAATATATAAGGTCTGCTCATTAGTTTATTATTATACCTTTTAATCTCGCCGCCGGAAAAAAAAATGTCAAACCCATGGGATCTCTTGTATGAAGACATCGTTTGGATCTTTTCCCATCCATATGAAATTTTACATGAATTCGCACTCCGCAATACTATTCTAGCGATACGTTTAAATCATGTTAAAGATGAGAAGGAACCAAAGAGCGAATTTAATCTTCTATATTTGAGCAACTGGCGTGGTTTATTATTGAATATAATGTGGATTTTATTCACGCTTCCGGGGATTTTTTTTTATCCCCTTATGGCGATAAAAGCATTGGAAAGACCGTATGTTCGCATGCCTGCACCACCAACCACAGATGAAGAAAGAAAGATGGAAGAGAAAGAGCAATGGTTTTTCATCAATGGTGTGATGGTAAATAACGATTGGTTAGAAGAAAACTGTAAATATCTGGAAGCACGTTTTAACAAAAAAGTTATAGGAATTCTAAATGCTAGTTATGGATTGCTCTCTGACGTTGTGGAAACACTCCATCAGAGAAATTTTGACGTCGATACCATGTCGGTACGACAGGCAACGAATTACATTCTCCCAGCGCTTAGGAA